GACGGGGTCGCGAAGGGGCCGCGAGGGGCCTGAGAGGTCGGCGACGGGGCCGCTGGCGGCGGCGACGGGGCCGATAGGGGCGGCGATGGGGCCGCGAAGGGGCCGCGAGGGGCCTGAGAGGTCGGCGACAGGGCCGCTGGCGGCGGCGACGGGGCCGATAGGGGCGGAGACGGGGCCGCGAGGGTCGGTGACGGGGCCGTTGGCGGCGGCGACGGGGCCGATAGGGGCGGCGACGGGGCCGGAGAGGTCGGCGACAGGGCCGCTGGCGGCGGCGTCGGGGCCGATAGGGGCGGCGACGGGCCGTGAAGGGGCCGCGAGGGGCCTGGAAGGGCGGCGACGGGCCGCGAAGGGGCCGCGAGGGGCCTGAAAGGGGCGGCAACGGGGCCGCGAAGGGGCCGCGAGGGGCCGAGAAGGGCGGCGACGGGGCCGCGAGGGGTGGCGACGGGGCCACTAAGGGTCGCGCGAGGGGCACGCCACGGGGCGTGCAGAACACAGAGTAGCAGCGGAAGCAGTTAGGTGGGCCCACAGGCCAGGAGCGTAGATGCTCTGATAGCATGTGAAGAATGAGGGATGAAGAAAGGAGGAGAGAGAGGTTCACTAGCAGCAGTTGGGATACATATAGCAAACCCTAACAGGGTTGTACTCGCTATAGAGCACCCCACTACAGGCTAGATAATTATAACATTCTGACACGATCTGCTTGCGCTTCTTGTTCGGCATCGTGAAGTGGAGCAAGATGTCGCGCGTCTCGGGGTCGGTGTTGAGGATGACTCCGCAATCTAGGAGGTGCGCCGCTGAGAGTAAATTAAAGCGCAGGTTCTGCACAATCAACACGTCATTAAGTGTGATGTGCGTTCGGCTCCCTCGTGCCTTGAGCACCACGATACCTTGCGCGCTTGCTCGCAGCCGCGTGCTGTTCGCCACTGTGACGTAAGTGACGACGGGAGTGGAGACGGCGTTGGATATGTAACGCTCGGAGCCCACCATATGCTGCCCACAGCAGCTGTCCATGTACCAGTTGTTGTAGCGCCTGTTGTCGTTTCGCGCGAGCAGCGCCAGTCGCGGAGTGACGATGTGTGGAGTGTCTACCTTCAAAAACTGTTCGCGCGCGATCCAGTCGATCGGTGCCGGCCGCATGTCAGGTACGTGCGGAGGGCTCTCAAGCAGCGGGACTGGTAGATTCCAGTCCTGGTTGTCGTCGTCGCTGTAGTCGTGATGCGTGCTGAATGGATTGTTGTTCGGAGATGCCTCAATTGGGTTGGGCTCTGGCTCAGGTGAAAGTGAGCATGCGCGCGGGCGACGAGAGCCGCTCGTCATGGTCATGTTCCCCATGACGTTGCGGACGGGGGCAGCTTGTGATGCCTGCTGCTGCTGCTGAGTTGTTGGATTCAGGTTGCGCGGTGGGGGTTGATACCCCTGGCGAGACGCGTGTCGTTTCTCGCGTCTTGTCGGCCGGACCAAGTGCTCGGATTGGTCTGGCGAGGGCGAGATCGATGCTTGCATCGATCCGCCAAGTGTCCGAAATTTCTGCAGATCTTGCAGTAGAGGCGCCGCGGTCGTCGCTCTTCCGTGTTGTCTGCGTAGAATGCGAGACGTTCTCTCTCTCGTCGTGGCGCTGGTCGCTGCTGGTCCATATCCCGTTGTTCGACGAGGAGGGCGGCGCAAAGGGTGGCCTCCGAGATGACCCCTTGCTGTCGGAGAAGCGCCTTGTAGGGCCGCCACTCTGGGCCGAGCCCTTGGAGCACGATGTTCACGAAGATCTCCTCAGAGATCGAGCTCCCCAATTTCGCGATTTGGTCGCGTAGACTCCGACAGCGATTCAGGTAACTGTTGGCTTTCTCTCCTGGTGCCATCCTTGTTTCCAGTAACTGCTGGAGGAGGAGGCTCGACGACACTGAGTCCTTGGGTTGGTATACGCCATTCAGGTGGCGCCAGGCATTGAGGGCTGTAGCAGGGGAGGTCTTGTATGAGCGAATGCTCAATTGCTCTGTCGGCGACATGTTCCGCAAAAGAACCCCATACGCCATCAGGGACTCGTTGTAGTACTTGGTTTTTGCGTCGTCAGTATCTTCCGCAGGCCCCAAGTAGCTTCCGTCGAAATAATGATAAATCTGCGCGTTTTGCAGTAGCAGCTCCAGCTCAAAGCTCCAGGTATAGAAGTCTCTGCCGTCAAAGCACGCACTTGTCTTTATTTTTGATATGCTCAAAAACCTTGATTGCGCAGAGAGAATTGCTTCATCGCTGGGACAGGAAGTCTTGGGGGTTGATCCGTTCGTATCGAGAGAGAAGCCTTGCGGGGCGGAGTTCTGGCCGTTTGAGGCCGGTTGAGTGGGTTGGGAAGAGGTTCCCGCATCGCCATTCCGCAATGTCTGGAGCCCTTGCTCTAGGCTCGTGAGTCGTTGAAGCAGTTGTGCGAGGACGGCGGAAGGAATCGTCGTCGTTTCCTCGTTTGTCGCAGCCGGGTTGGGCTGCGCTTCAGCTATCAGATTCGTCTGACCTCCAGATCCTCCGGCCATTCTTACACGTGATCGTGTGCCGGACGCCACTTTCCGAATGTCGCAGATTTCGGAGATGGCGGTGCGAAGGATTCCTGAGTCGTTCTGATACCATGTTAGAATCAGAAAGTGATCGTAACCAGGATCACCTCAGGAAGGTTCGCACAATTCTGGTCTAGTGGTGGTGGGCCCTTGACCTCAATAGCAGAGTGAATGTAAATGCTTGAGATAATAAAAACGTGCAGTACAAGGAATATAAATATGAGTACAGGGGAATTCGAAACGACCTAACTAGCCATGTACTCTAAGGGGTACATTCCCTTATTGCAGCGAAATCCAACCGTGCGACTCCGAGTGGTTACGTAACTGTTCGGGCAGAATCCTCGCCACTGCTGCTGCCTGATGCTGTCTGCCCGACGGTCCAGATGCTCCTCGTAACCGTCTGTCCCTTTGCCTTTCTTCTGCCTTTTCGTCTTCACTCTCGATAGTGCGTGCTTCGGCTTTGCTACGGTGAGGAGTGCGCAACGGTGTTTTCCATTAACCACTATTCGTAACAAATCCTACTAGGTACGAGTGTACTTGACCGGAAGTACTGGGAATATCAGATTCCCGCGGTGTCAGCAGGGCCTGTCGTTGACTATCGGACAATTTTGCCCACACTGATGGCCCCTTAGTTGGTGCGCCTGGTCCGTTCATTGGCCACATTTGCAACATTAAGTGACTTGACCGATTACAAGGTTGCAGCACAGAGATGTTGGCAGGCTGCGCTGCGAAGGATTCTGGCGGTCTAGGTCGTGCTGGCAAGCACTGATGCATCCACGCCTCCCATCCGTGCTACCTGCCATCCAGCCTCACATCCCGTTCTGCTGTTTGCTTCCTTCCTAGTGTTTTTACTACTAGTAAAATAAAGACTAATAGTATCAGCCTTTTTTTGTAGGGAACACTGATGCATCAGACTTTTTTTTGAAGTAACACTGAACTTTCAGGCTTTTTTTTTAGGCGACCCTGACGATCAGGGTCTAGGGGCAGAGGGACCCTGATACCCTTACGTGCCTAAAAGTGAATCTGAGGGCCTGACCCTAACCTATAGGGTTTGGGAGGTGGTCCACTCTAAAGAGTGTACACCACAAGTTCTCCCAACCCAACCAATATATTCTACACTACTATAGTGTCATGTACCACTACTGTAGTGGTACATGACACTATAGTCATGTGTCCCACCGACTGGCGCTGCAGCGGACTGCAATGCGTTGGGAACAGCTTTGCCAACTGCTTTGGCTTCCTTTGCACTGGCTAGATGCTGTCCACTTGTCCCACCAGCTGAATGGCCACTTTGCTGCAACTATACCTGGTTTGCTCCAGTGACGCCATGTTTTCTGCTGTGCCAGAGCCGTTTACGGTTTGCAGTGCTGCTGGCTGGTCTGCATTGGCTACTGACCTGGGAAGGCATTTTCTTGGATATCTTATCTGCGTAAATGCCATTCCCTCATTCACCGTAATGTTTGACTCGTACTGAACTCACATGTTTTTTTACTAGTGCATTCCTGAAACTAAGGCAGTTTTAGAGTCTGATAGCGAGGATGAGTATGCAAGTAATTGAATGATTATAAATAAATTGTCAAGTATGTGAGTTGATTTAAATCTAATAAGTACATATTAGTGGCAGTGTGCGGAAAAATCTCACACTGGAGTTGCAGGGTAAAAATTTAAAACGGATATGTTACACTGCTCTGGCAGTGTAATGAAGAAGTTCACACTGCTCAGAAGGGTTTTTAAAAAAGCTACACTGCCAATCGTGAGTTAGCCAAATCCAAAACGAAGCCCTGCCACTACATATGTTTATTGGAGTAACCCGAATTAACCTTAATTCCAACACTTAACAACCAATGCACAGAACTTCACCAAACACCGCTGTTCCCCAAGCATGTGAAATGACAACCACAGCTCCACTAACTGTGCCCTGACACCGCTGCATGCTGTCCTGTTGGAAAGGAAGTGAAGCATGCATCCAAAGGGCGCATTCATATACTCCTATACATTACCGTTACTCTGGATTCCTTTGCAGCCCACATACATCCATCGCGGCAAGGATATCATCCGACAATGGAGCCGTAAACGTAATTGGTAACTTTGTAACTGGATGTTCAAACGTCAACGTGTGCGCATGTAACGCTTGTCTGTGTAACACCCCAACCTTCTCAATCTCCCCACTCCAGCCCAACCCAACCCTCCACACCGCAAAAGTTTCCACAACCCTTTTCACACCCAATTCACCATCCTTTTTTATGTAGCCCTCTTCGCTCTGCCATCCTTCATCCTCGCTATACTGCTCCTCACTTAGACTAGAGAGTCCCTCAGTTTGATCAGAGTGTGTCTCCTCGAGTTGGCTATAGCACTCCCTACAGTGCTCACCCCACATGAGAGGCAGGGCGCCATAGATATGGTCTGCTAGCACAGGCAGCTTGGCGTGCTGTAGATGCACCCTGATTTGGTGCGTTCTTCCTGTTACTGGGACGGCTTGTAAAAGGGATACCCTGATGGGTAAATGAAGAGGCGGCAGGGGGGAAGGGGAGAGGGAAGGGAGGCGAGGCGTGGGGGAGAGAGAGACAAGAACTGGGATTGGCCTTGTGCGCTTGAACACAAGTGCAAGGTGACGGTGGAGCAATGCAGTGGAGGGGTGCAAAGCAATGCAGCGGGGTGCAAGGCAATGCACAGGAGTGCAAGGGAATGCAGAGGGGTGCAAGGAAATGCAAATGGTCTCAGTGCACAAGCATCATACCCGGAAGCTTCACTTCTTGCGAGAACACTGAACTCTGTCCTTGCCTCCTGTATCTTGCTCTCCTTTTTCGGCGTCCCGCTCCCACACTCTTCCTTTTTCTGCGCCCCGCTCTCTTCCACACTCTCTCCCACTCCCTCCTTGCCTCCTTCCGTCCCCTCCTTCCCTGTCTCCTCTCCCTTCCTTTCCATGTGCTCGTCAGCCACTCCGTCTCCCCTCATTTCCACAATATCCTCTCCCACAACCATGCGTGCAAACTCGTGGTCAGGGTCGCGTGCAATGGGGGCATCGACTGTGAACGAGTCCAAACGAGGCAGCCCCACCACCAGCACCAGATACTGCTTCGCCACCTGGGAGGGGCAGGGAGAATCAAAGACACAGAGGAAGTCAAACTCATGGTCAGGGTCTCGTGCAATGGGAGCATCGACAACAAACGGGTCCGAAGGAGGCAGCCCCAGCACCAGCACCAGATACTGCTTCGCCACCTGGGAGGGAGTGGAATCAACACACACAGAGGACAAGGGAGCAACAGACAAGGGGGCATCAGATAGGTCATGGTGAGTATGGGTCTCGTGCAATGGGAGCATCGACAACAAACGAGTCCGAAGGAGGCAGCCCCACCACCAGCACCAGATACTGCTTCGCCACCTGGGAGGCGGTCAAAGCATGCCAAATCGGGACCAACACAGAGGGAAGGGCCGCAACTGACAGAAGGAAGCAAGTAAGTCATGGCCATGGGGGTCTCGTTCGCCCGAAAGAAGATCTTGTGCCCCAAGGACCTTGTGCCATAAGGACCTTGTGCCCTAAGGACCTTGTGCCCTAAGGACCTTGTGCCCTAAGGACCTTGTGCCATAAGGACCTTGTGCCCTAAGGACCTTGTGCCCTAAGGACCTTGTGCCCTAAGGACCTTGTGCCCTAAGGACCTTGTGCCCTAAGGACCTTGTGCCATAAGGACCTTGTGCCCTAAGGACCTTGTGCCCTAAGGACCTTGTGCCATAAGGACCTTGTGCCCTAAGGACCTTGTGCCCTAAGGACCTTGTGCCCTAAGGACCTTGTGCCCTAAGGACCTTGTGCCCTAAGGACCTTGTGCCATAAGGACCTTGTGCCATAAGGACCTTGTGCCATAAGGACCTTGTGCCATAAGGACCTTGTGCCATAAGGACCTTGTGCCATAAGGACCTTGTGCCATAAGGACCTTGTGCCATAAGGACCTTGTGCCATAAGGACCTTGTGCCATAAGGACCTTGTGCCATAAGGACCTTGTGCCATAAGGACCTTGTGCCATAAGGACCTTGTGCCCTAAGGACCTTGTGCCCTAAGGACCTTGTGCCCTAAGGACCTTGTGCCATAAGGACCTTGTGCCATAAGGACCTTGTGCCATAAGGACCTTGTGCCCTAAGGACCTTGTGCCCTAAGGACCTTGTGCCCTAAGGACCTTGTGCCATAAGGACTTTGTGCCATGGGAGTCCCATGATGGGACCATGGACTGAGGAAGAGTCCCATGGTCTTGTACCACCAGGCAGGCCATACTAGCCTCACCCACCCCTCATCTACCCCCACCTCACCTGGTCTTTGGGAGAAAGGGCCTGCTGGAGATCCAGGGAGACAAGGCGAGTCTTGGCAAAGCAGATGACTCCGCTGCCCCACCTGCGCTGCCCCACCTGCTCTGCCCCAGCCACACCACCACTTCCCCCACCCACCCATGCCTCATCTGGTCCTGGGAACGAAAGGCTTGGTAGAGAGTGTGCGAGTAGTGAGTCGAGTTTTGAGTCGACTCAAAACTCTTCCCCCACCCACCCATGCTTCATCTGGTCCTGGGAACGAAAGGCTTGGTAGAGAGCCTGCGAGACGAGGCGGGCCTTGGCGAAGCACATGACACCGCTGGCCCACCTTATCTTCCTCACCTGCTCCCTCCCACCTCCTTTCGAGTCGACTCAAAAGAAGGCCTGGTGAAGAGCCTGGCATTGGGCGGGCCTTGGCGAAGCACATGACGCGACGCCGCTGGCCCACCTTATCTTCCTCACCTGCTCCCTCCCACCTCCCCTCCCTTCTCACCTGGTCTTTGGAGCGGAAGGCCGGTGGAGAGCCCGGAAATTGGGCGGGCCTTGGCGAAGCACATGACGCCACTGGCCCAACTTATCGTCCCCGCCTGCTCCCTCCCAGCTCCCCTCCCTTCTCACCTGGTCCCTCCCACCTCCCCTCCCTTCTCACCTGGTCCCTCCCACCTCCCCTCCCTTCTCACCTGGTCCTGGGAACGGAAGGCCTGGTGGAGAGCCCGGGAGATTGGCCGAGCCTTGGCGAATCAGATGACACCACTGCCCCACCTTATCTTCCCCTCCGCCTCCCTCCCACCTCCCCTCCCTTCTTAGGGCGTATTCGTAGCTTCGTGTCATCCGGCATTCGTGTCATCCGAAAGTGTGGGAGCCAATCGGAATACTCGCGTTTCGAGCTTTGATTTTTTCAATTGGATCCCACAATTTCGGGTGACACGAATACGGGATGACACGAAGCTACGAATACGCCCTTACCTGGTCTTTGGTTCAAAAGGCCTGGTGGAGAGACCGGGAGACTGGCCGAGCCTCGGCGAATCAGATGACACCACTGCCCCACCTGCTCTCTCACCCTCATCTCCACCCCTCCCACCTCCCCTCCCTTCGTACCTGATCCTTGGTTCGAAACGCCTGGTGGAGAGCTTGGGAAATGGGGCGAGACTTGGCAAAGCAGATGACGCCGCTGCCGCTCCTGCTCTGCCCCACCTTCGGTCCACACCTCCCCACACCCCCCCACACCTCCCGCCACCTCACCTGATCCTTGGTTCGAAACGCCTGGTGGAGAGCTTGGGAAATGGGGCGAGACTTGGCAAAGCAGATGACGCCGCTTGTGTACATGTCCAGGCGGTGCACTGTGAATGGGTCGGCCTGCAAGTAATGTGCCTGTGAGTGTATGTGGTGTGAACACGAGTGAAGGGGAAATGGATAAATACAGAGGGTGGCGAAGCGGATGACACCACTCGTGTACATGTCCAGGCGGTGCGCTGTGAAGAGATCGGCTTGCAGGTAGTGTGCCTGGTTGGGTGGGGTTGCAGGCAGTAAGGGGAACGGACGAGCGTCCAAGGGGAAAGGTGCGGCGAAGCAGATGGCTCTGCTGGTGAACATGTCTAGTCGGTGCACTGTGAAGGGATCGGCCTGCAGGTAGTGCGCCTGTGAGTTTTGGTTGGATGGGGGATATGGGCATTACAGGGAATGAAGGAATGGCATGGGGAGGATGATGGTGCGAAGCAGATGACACCGCTGGTGCACATGTCTAGGTGGTGCACTGTAAAGGGGTGAGCGTTCAGGTAGTGCGCGTGTGAGTGGGGGGAGGGAGTGAATCGTTTTGTGTGCGCGGGAAAGGGAAAAGGGCTGGAGTGGCGAAGCAGATGACACCGCTGGGGAACATGTCTAGGCGGTGCACTGTGAAGGGGTCAGCCTGCAGGTAATGCGGCTGTGAGTGGGGGGAGAGGAGGGAGGGGTTGGGCAAAAGCAGATGGCTCCACAGGTGATCATGTCTAGGCAGTGCACTGTGAAGGGGTGAGCCTGCAGACAGTAACTTTTGAGTCGACTCAAAAGTCACTGTGAAGGGGTGAGCCTGCAGACAGTAACTTTTGAGTCGACTCAGAAGCCACTGTGAAGGGGTGAGCCTGCAGGCAGTGCGCGTGTGAGTGGGGGGAGAGGATTCTAGAGGCGCCTCAAACGGTTGAGCCTACAGATAGAGTGTCTGGTGTGTTGGCGGGGTTGGGTGTGTTGTGTGAGTGTTGGCGGGGTTGGGTGTGTTGGCGGGGTTGGGTGTGGTTGGGTTGGGTGTGAAAAGAAGCGATAGTGCGGGCAGGTGACAGATTTATCAAAGCAATGCGTAGAAACAGCACAAACGTGCCTCAAGAAAGGCCCAAGAAAGTGTAATGGGTCACTTCCCAGTGAAACCTACAGGCGCTACAGACCCTCAGCATGGACTAGCGTTGACGGTTGACCAGAGTTGACCAGCGTTGACCGCTGACTGACTCACCACTCGGTTGACCAGTGCTCCCCCCACGAATCGGTGCAGCGGCGAGTGCTTCACTCCTGCTGGTTTGTTGACCACCTGGGTAGTTATCGAGGGGTTAACGAGATAGGTTGCGGAGAGGGTTTGAGTGATAAAGCCATTCTCGTGAAGCAGCACAGATGATTCCCTCCTCCTGGTTTGTTCACCACCTGGTGTAATTATTGAGGGGTTAAGGAGATAGGTTGCGGAGAGGGGTGAGGAGAAAGGTTGAGAGGAGAAGTTGATTGAAGGGGTTCAGTCAAAGACAATTGATAATGAGCTGTTTTCAGGAAGCAGCGCTTCACCCCTGCTGGCTTGTTAACACCCGCCAAGAACCAATCATGATTCAGGGATAACACCAGTAGCCAATCAGAATTCAGCGCTGCTCACCAGTATCCAATCATCTTCAAACAACACGTCAAGCGGCTCGGCGTCCCGCACCAATGGCGGCTTTACTTTCTTGGCCTGCCGCGGCTTCTTAGGTTTCGCATTCGCATCACGAGCTGACGCACTTTGATTCGAGCCGAAAGCAATCTCGTTACAACTAGCTGGCGAATCCCCTGTAACGAGATCACGTTCGCTTGGATCATCGCCGACCAATGGCGGCTCTGCAGAGGGGCGTGTCGCAGACATTGACGAAACCCGTCCATTGTCCCCGCTTGGACCCTCGATCTCTTCGCGATCAGTCGAAAGTCCTATCGTTATCCGATTCCTAGTTTCAACTTCAGCTGAAGGTGGAGTCTGCTTTTGAGGCGCATCAAAAACAGACTCGATCTCTTCGCGATCAGTCGAAAGACCTATCGTTATCTGATTCCTAGCTTCAACTTCAGCTGAAGAAGGAACCCGAATGTCATGTTCTGCCCGTGTTTGGCCGTGTTCCGGAATTTCAGGGTCGGCAAGACGAAAGGAGCCGTCGGATTCGGCATCTGCGCTCTCTCCAGCGGATGCAGCGTGAGCTCGGTGGACGACTCTCGTCGCGCGAAGGCACAGTTGCGGAACCTTCGATTGAGTCACAACCTGTCCGTATCTCCGGGCGCTGCGACGTACTAACGGGGTGTATGGTGAGGGATGCAAAAGCTGCGAGAGAGCCTTCACTACGGGAGCGTACATTGCCGCCCTAGGTGTCACCCCCGAGTCAACTCTATAGTCACCAGGGAATTGCCGCGTCAGATACGAGTGTGACGTGTCAACCTGTAATGGCCACTAATCCCATCCCAAGCTGATGCTCTAAAGCGGCGCGGTTGCTGATAAGAAATGGTCTGCCCTCTGAGAGTCAACAAAACTACGAATTGGCGATCAACGAGGTAAAATGGCGATGTCGTTTGACCTAGTCCGGAAAGTTATGAGGTAACTTGTCGCAGAGTAAGGTCGGGAGACTTAGATACGCGAAATCAATCTCCACCGGATCTAACGGCTCAGACTGCGCCATCGAAAACGTTGTTCATCGCAGCAAGCGAAGATAAACCACAAAGCACTGCGTTACAACTTGCCTCATTCTAAGAGAATAGGTGGCCTCTTTCATTTTCTTGTAGTCTTCAAATGTGTAACAAACTGTCTTGATTTGAAACAACACTCAACCGTTCTCTTTGCACCAGACTTGATTGAGCACAACCGTAAAGAAAGCTGTCACAAATATGAGGGGCAAAAATATTGAAAAACTTATCCAGATGTATGCGAACTTCCCCAGATTTAGTTAGCTGCCCCCATGCATCTCCTTCCCAAGCTTCTGAATCTGCACAGGGAGGGGATTATAAATTATAATAGAAATATAAATGCAAATCACTGAGCTGACACTGAATTAGATTTTGATAAACGGCGCAAATGGTGCCCCTACCGCACAGGCGCAAAATATATGAGCACATCTCACGCCCACAGACACATCATATGATCACATCCCACACCATGCCCAGTCTTGCAAGGCCCTGCATCGCCATGCATCTGCGATATCGATGCCATGCCATGTCATGCCATGCCATGCCTCATGCCGAGCATGCCACCATATCGTATTGCGTTGCCCTATCACCCCCTTCACCTCCCCCTCTCACCTAATCCACCTGCATGTCGATTTGCTCGCATCCATGCCATGTCACAGCAGACATTTTATGCCATGCTTATCCCATCATTCACTCCACCTTCCATTCGTCACTCGCTCACCTGATCCACCTGCATGTCAATCTGCTCGCGGTACATCTGCTTCACATCCATCACGCAAAGCCATGCCACACCACACTATGTTGTGTAATGCCCTCCCACCATCCCTTCACCCCCTTCTCCCCTTCCCCCCCCCCCCCACTCTCACCTAATCCACCAGCATGTCGATTTGCTCGCAGTACATCTGCTTCACATCCATCATCCTATGCCACACCATGTCGGGTTGTGTCATGCCATCCCATCACTCCCTTCCCTCCCCACCCCCCTCTCACCTGATCCACCAGCATGTCAATCTGCTCCCAATACATCTTCTTCACAACATCACGCCATGTCATGCCACACCGCATCAAGTTCCGTCACCCCATCTTATCACCCCATTCTTCCCCCATCCCCTCCTTACCTGATCCACCAGCATGTCGATCTGCTCGCGATACATCTGCTTCACATCCATCAGGTCAGCCCTTAGCTCCTCCACCTGCCATGCACCACAGCAGCAGCAGGGAGACACAGGAGAACATTGTGTTGGGGGTGCTTCGCCAACAGCCTCGGCTGGTCACTCCCTTCAACCCATCACCACTCCTGGCCTTACATCCCAACCCAACTGTACCTGCTCGTCTCTCTCCCCCATGAGCTCCAGGGCAGAAGCATGCCGCCTCCTGATGGCTTCCAGCTCCGCCTTGAGCCCAGGCAGCTGAGTCACCTCGCTGTGCAAACTCTCACACTCTCCCATATCCATCACACACCTCTCACCTGCTCCTCTCTCTCACCTGCTCCTATCTCTCACCTGTTCGTCTCTCTCCCCCATAAGTTCGAGAGCAGAAGCATGCCGCCCCCTGATCGCCTCCAGCTCCGCCTTGAGCCTCACCCTATCTATCTTCTATAATGCTCTGAATCTGTCTCTTTGCCTCTGCGTCTCCTTCTTTCCCCTACCTCTCCCCTCATCCCCCACACCTCTCACCTGCTCGTCTCTCTCCCCCATCAGCTCCAGAGCAGAAGCATGCCGCCTCCGTATTGCCTCAAGCTCTGCCTTCAGCCCTGGCAGCTGGGTCACCTCACTGCGCAGACTCTCACACTGCGTCGTCGTCTTTACAAGCTCTTCAGCTAGCGAGTCACGGGTGCTCTCCAGTGCGGCCTGATGGGAGGAGAGGAGGCAAGGGCGAAGGAGGAAGGGGTTTCAAGGAAGCTGAGTCACTTCGCTCTGCAGGCTCTCACAGTGTGCCGTCGTATGAGTTACTTAGCAACTTTTGAGGCGCCTCAAAAGTCCTTGAAACTCAAAATTTTTGAGGTGCCTCAAAAGCCGCAGGCTCTCACACACAGTGTGCCGTCGTATGAGTTACTTAGCAACCGCAAATCCAAGCAAAGAACCCACCAGTCCCGCAGTGTGCATCACAATCTCTCCATCCTTCTGCCTCAACAGCGACTCCAAATGCCCCACAGTAGCTGCATTCGTTCAGCACACGATCACAGTATAACGCGCTGACACACCAGCACCCACGAGAAACGGCAATAGAAGCTCACACACGACCACAAAAGAAGCACCCCTCCACCGCACATGAAGGAGAGTCGCCAGTCTCACATCTGGACCATGCCTCACCAGCCTTGCATTGTGTGTGGCGATTTCCCCATCCTTCTGCCTCAAAAGCGACTTCAAATGCTCCACAGTCGCAGCAATATGCACACGGACTAGCAAGCCTCTACAAAGGAGCGCTCAGCAACCACACATCCAAGGAGGAGACTCACCAGTCTTGCAGTGTGAGTGGCGATTTCTCCATCTTTCTGCCTCAGAAGCGACTCCAAATGCTCCACAGTCGCAGCATTCGCAGCACTGGGCCTCAGCAGACCTCCACCACTCGCCCCTCCATACCCCATCCCCACCCCTCCCCCCATCCCTCCCCCCATTCCTCCCCCCAACGCCCCCATGGACGCACTAGCACCAAGCATCCCAAACCCCCCGCCCCCCCCGCCGCTGCTGCTGGTGCCGCCGATAATCGCCCCTGAGAGGAGGTCAGAGTGGGAGGAGGAGCCTCCAGGGAGCAGCGAGGCCGCGAGGATGCCCGACGCTGTTGCCTCCTCGATGGCACTGCTGCCCGCGCTGCTGCTGCTGGGGACCCGGCGGAGGGACTGGCGCACTGGATGGAAGGGAGGGGTGGAGAGGGGTGGGGAGGGAGCAGGAGGCAGGGGGAGGGCAGGGTGCAGGAGGCAAAGGGGTTGAGCCACCTATTATCGCTCCAGTGAGGAGGTCAGAGTGGGAGGAGGAGCCTTCAGGGAGCAGCGAGGCCGCGAGGATGCCCGACGCTGTTGCCTCCTCAATGGCACTGCTGCCCACGCTGCTGCTGCTGGGGACCCGGCGGAGGGACTGGCGCACTGGATGGAAGAGAGGGGTGGAGAGGGGTGAGGAGGGATGCGTGGAGGTGTTAGAGAACAAGCGAGGATGCCCGAGGCTGTTGCCTCCTCGATGGCACTGCTGCTGCTGGGGAATCGTTTCAAGGCTTGACGGACTGGGTGTGGGTGGGGAGGGGTGGAGAGGGGTGGAGAGGGGTGGGGAGGGAGCGGGAGGGAGGAAGCAGGCGTAACCTATCGACTGGCAAGCAGGACTGACCAGAGAGCTCAGGGTATTTCGAGTTCCATGGTCGGAGCCTGCTGCATCATGTTTAGAGGCGCCTCAAAACTAGCTCAGGGTATTTCGAGTTCCATGGTCGGAGCCTGCTGCATCATGTTTAGAGGCGCCTCAAAACTAGCTCAGGGTATTTCGAGTTCCATGGTCGGAGCCTGCTGCATCATGTTTAGAGGCGCCTCAAAACTAGCTCAGGGTATTTCGAGTTCCATGGTCGGAGCCTGCTGCATCATGTTTAGAGGCGCCTCAAAACTAGCTCAGGGTATTTCGAGTTCCATGGTCGGAGCCTGCTGCATCATGTTTAGAGGCGCCTCAAAACTAGCTCAGGGTATTTCGAGTTCCATGGTCGGAGCCTGCTGCATCATGTTTAGAGGCGCCTCAAAACTAGCTCAGGGTATTTCGAGTTCCATGGTCGGAGCCTGCTGCATCATGGGCTACGACTAGTGCCTTCTCCGCTCCAGCTCTCCCCTCTGAAGAGCTGTCCTCACCACTTGACCCACACGCTACACTGCACGATCCGCTTCGGAATGACTTGAAGAGCAGGACTGACCTGAGAGCTCGGGGTACGAGGAACCCGCTGCTGCATGCGCTGCTACCAGCGCCTTCTCTGCTGCAGCCCGTCCCTCTGAAGAGCTGTCCTCACCCCTTGACCCACGCGCTACGCTGCATCAGCCACTTGAAAAGGAGGTGACGAGCAGGGCCTACCTGAGAGCTCAGGGTAGGACGAGCCTGCTGCTGCATGCGCTGCAACCAATGCCTTCTCTGCTGCAGCCCGTCCCTCTGCCCGAATCTTCCTCTCGTGCTCAGCCATGGATGCCCGCTCGCTCTCCAGTTCCTGGGAAAAGGACAAGCACGGGCAGAAACGGAACAAGCGCGGGGAGTGAGGAGACAGTTGAGCTTAATCGTCAGAGTTAACGGTGACTGGAGTGGTGCACACACGCTCACACACCTGCTCGAATCGAGATGAGTCTGAAGCCTTTTGACAATTTTCAAAAGCCCGGGGAGTGAGGAGACAGGTGAGCTTAATCGTCAAAGTTTACGGCGACTCGAGTGGTGAAGACACCCTTACGCACCAGCTCAGATTGAGATGAGTCTGAAGCCTTTTCAGCACCACTGAACTCACCTGCTCTACAAGCTCCCTCCTCTGCCGCTCCTCCTGCACCTCCTTCCGCCACTGCGCCTTTACCTCGCTGCTACCTGATTGAACCCCCCCCCTCCTGGTACCTGATTGAACCGCTCTTAACACCACTGAACTCACCTGCTCAACCAGCTCCCTCCTCTGTCGCTCCTCCTGCACCTCCTTCCGCCATCTCCCCTTCACCTCCCTCATCTCCTCCTCCACCACTTTCACCCGCCCTTCCGCTGCAACCTTCGCCTCCTGCGCACTCAGATACTCCGTCCTGTTCTCCGCCACCCTTGCTCACTCACCTGCTTTTGAGGCGCCTGCGCACTCAAATACTTCGTCCTGTTCTCTGCCACCTTTATTCACCCACCTGCTCAAAGTGAGGTGACTTTCAAGTGTTTTTCAGCACCGCTGAACTCACCTGTTCAACCAGCTCCCTCCGCTGCCGTTCCTCCTGCACTTCTTTCCGCCACCGCCCCTTCACCTCCCTCAACTCCTCCTCCACCACTTTCACCCGCCCTTCCGCTGCAACCTTCGCCTCCTGCGCACTCAGATACTCCGTCCTGTTCTCTGCCGCCCGCTGGCGCTCCTTGTCGAGGGAGCGGGAGAGCTGGGAGTGCTCGGCGCGCAGGCAGGAGAGCTGGGCTTCCATGACTGCCAGGCGGGACAGCGTCTGGTTCAGCCGCTCGCTCGTCACCCGCTCCCTCTCCTCCGCCACTGCCGCCTTCGCCTCCGCCTCCTGGAAAAGGGGAGGTGTGGGGGAGGTTGGGAGTCAGCACTCTCAGCTTAGGACGAGGCATTTCAGGGAGCGAGTCAGCCTCACCCGCTCCCTCTCCTCCGCTACTGCCGCCTTCGCCTCTGCCTCCTGGAAAAGGGGAGAGGTCGTTGGGAAGGGCACCCAACAATATCATGCGAGGGGACTCAGGTTAGTCACCACTCGCCCCTTTTCCAGGAGGCAGTCGCGAGGGTAGTCCCGCTCGTCACCCGCTTCCCTCGTCACCCGCTTCCCTCGTCACCCACTTCCCTCGTCACCCACTTCCCTCCTGTTCTCTGCTCCCTCTCCTCTGCCACTGCCGCCTTCGCCTCTGCTTCCTGGAAGTGGGGGGTTCGGTGAAAAAAACAGGGAGAGTGTGTGAAAAAAGGAGAGTTGAGTGCCCGCTCCACCCCTGAGCGCCTCCATGTGCGTGTTGGCTGACTCCTGCATCGCCTCTATCTATCTGCCGCAGCAACCAGCCTTTCAATCGCCCTGGAAGGAAACCACTCCCCCACACACGCACCTGCAGCCGGGCATTCAGTGCCCGCTCCACCCCTGAGAGCGCCTCCATGTGCGTGTTGGCCGACTCTTGCATTGCCTCTATCTGCCGCGGCAGCGGGCGACTCAGCAATTACTCTCCATTTCCACTCGAAACCACTGCGTACCTGCAGCCGGGCATTCAATGCCCGCTCCACACCAGACAGCGCCTCCATGCGCGTGCTGGCCGACTCCTGCATTGCCTCTATCTGCCGCAGCATGCTTTCACAGTCAACCTGTAACCACAGGCACACACGCACCTGCAGCCGCGCATTCAATGCCCGCTCCACCCCTGAAAGAGCCTCCATGCGCGTGTTGGCCGACTCCTGCATCGCCTCTATCTGCCGCAGCAGCGGGCGGGTCGACTCTGGTATCCGCGCCACCAGCTCCTCGTGCCGAGCCTCCGCTGCCTGGCTCGGGGGGGAGGAACGGGTACAGGGGAGCGAAAAAGGAGTTTGATAGCAGGAGTGAGAAAACAGGAGAAGGCAGCAATGATTCTGAGTCACATACCACAGATTCCTCTTTTCTCCAGCACCTGCTCCAAATCACGCTGGTGCTCTCAAGAGGTATTCAACTCACCCGACATCTCTTCTCCATGTCCTCCAGATCCCTCCGCAGAATCTGCTCGCGGAACCCTGCCTGCTGCTCACCCCGTATAAGATACTTTAGTGCAATCTCCACTCACCTGGTACCGCTTCTCCATATCCTCAAGGTCCCTCCACAGCATCTGCTCGCGGAACCCTGCCTGCTGCTCGCTCCGTGTGAGAGCCTGTCGGAGCTCCTCCACAGTCATCACCAGCGCCCTCTCCCTCTCCCCCACCTCCCTCAACCTCCTCTCTGCCTCTGCCTTTGCCTCTCAACTCACCTGCCTGGCACCGCTACTCCATATTTTCAAGGGTTGAGAACGGTTGAGGGAGAGACAGACAGAGAATCTTTCCACGCACCTGACACCTCTTCTCCATATCCTCAAGGTCCCTCCGCAGCATCTGCTCTCGGAACCCTGCCTGCTGCTCGCTCCGCGTGAGAGCCTGTCTGAGCTCCTCCACAGTCATCACCAGCGCCCTCTCCCTCTCCCCCGCCTCCTTCAACTTTCTCTCTGCCTCCGCCTTTGCCTCGCTGTCCGCCCGCGCCTCGGCTGCTGCCTGCGCCTCCCGGGCAGCTGAAAGGGCAGAAACGTAGAAGTCTTTTTGGGCAGCGAGATCCGCCTGCCCGCGCTCTACTGCGTCTTGAAGGGCTTTTTCGGTGGCTGCTTTGTCTTTCTTGATGCTCTCCACTCGAGCCTCCTCCACTTGCAGCCGATTTTGTAGCCGGGTCCTCTCCTCCTCCATCTCGCGGAGCTGAAAGGAGGGAGAGAATAGAGAGAAGGACAACGGGGAAGGGAGGTACGAGAGCCTTTTCAATGGTGGCTTTGTCTTTCTTAATGCTCTCCACTCGAGCTTCCTCCACCTGCAGCCGATTTTGTAGCCAGGTCTTTTCTTCCTCCATCTCTCGGAGCTGAAAGGCGGGGAAACGAGGGGAAGAGAGGGAGGCAAAGCAAGGAATGGGAGTGATTCGAAGCAAGGAAGTAAGATTTCTCTATACTCGTCACTCCACTCGAGCCTCTTGCACTTAAAGCCGAGACGGCAGGCACGCCTCCTGCACCTCCAACTCCCAGAGCTGTACGAGAAAAGAGGCGCAAAGCAGAATAAAGAGAAAGAGACCGGGAGAAGTGCGAGGAGGAACAGGGCTGGGAGGGAAACGTATCACCTAGCAGGCATCTGGTCGTGGAAGAGAACTGACAAGGGAGAGGAAGCTTCTGTGCACCTACCTGAGTGCGAAGCTTCTTCATGGCCCCTTCCTGTGCAGCCTGTTTCTTGGAAAGTTCCTCGCCTGCACAGTGACAGGGGAAGCACACAGCAGTACATGCGTGTAATCGAAAGAGATCGTACATGATGTGAGAGGGCGAGAGAGTGTTTAGAGACGTCTCAAAACAACTCTGTTTACACGTAGCACACAGCAGTACACGCGTGTAATCGAAAGAGATCGTACATGATGTGAGAGGGTGAGAGAGTGCACAGGCTACATTTTCACGCATTTTTCGTTCATACGTGTGTGAGAGAGAAGCACAGATGGTATGAGCACATCGAGATGGTGTGGAAGCAAAAAGTCACTCAAAAGTTACCGACCGACCCATCTTCCGCCAGCCAGGTGGGTCCTACCGTCCTACCACCGCCACACATCTCTTAGTCCTATTGGCCCAACCACCCACTCTCCGCGCCTCCTCTTCTGCCTGAGTGCCAGTGAGTGAAACATCACCCACCTTCCGCCGTGACCTGTCGTATGATCTCGTCCTTCTCCTTCAAAAGCGTCGACGTGTCCGCCTTGCGGCTCTGCTCCCAGAGGTGACTCATATATAACCTCTTCACCTCACATCAATTCAACCATCACCCACCTTCCGCCATGACCTGGCGAATAATCTCATCCTTCTCCTTCAGAAGACGAATGCACAGCACCTCCCCTCCACCATCTCTCAATGGTGATTGCCCCCCAAGCACCCACCTTCCGCCATGACCTGTCGTATGATCTCGTTTTTCTCCTTCAAAAGCGTCGATGTGTCTGCCTTGCGGCTCTGCTCCCAGAGGTGACTCATACATAACCTCTTCACCTCACATCAATTCAACCATCACCCACCTTCCGCCATGACCTGCCGAATGATCTCGTCCTTCTCCTTAAGAAGCGTCGACGTGTCCGCCTTGCGGCTCTGCTCCCGCCGCAGCATGTCCCGCTCCTTGGTCAGCGCATACACCTGGAGTGCGGAAAAGTGGTACGTGTAGCAAGTATATGAGTAGTACGCATGTTAAGGGAACGCCCCTCATTCAGCCTTGCGGCTCTGCTCCCGCTGCAGCATGTCCCGCTCCTTGGTCAGCGCATACACCTGGAAGGAGAAAAGGTAGTGGAGGAGAAAAGGTGTTGGAGGAAGGGGAGGGGAGGGGAGTGAGCATGTGAGGGGGGAGTTAGAGGCAAGTCCAGGCTACTAGCCTTGCGGCTCTGCTCCCGCCGCAGCATGTCCCGCTCCTTGATCAGCGCATACACCTGGAATGCGGAGGAGGGGAGGGAAACGTAGGGGAGCGAGCATGTGAGGGGGGAGTTGGAGGCAAGTCGAGGCTATTAATCCTTCCGGCTCTGTTCCCGCCGCAGCATGTCTCCCGCTCCTTGGTCAGAGCATATACCTGGAAGGAGAAAAGGTGGTGGCGGAAGGGAGGGGAGTGCGCATGTGAGGGGGGAGTTGGCGGCAAGTCAAACCTATTCAGCCTTTCGGCTCTGTGTGGTCAAAACGTGCACCTGGAATGGGAGCATGTAGCATAAGCGCAGAGCCCATAGCCCAGTGCGATGCTACAGGTATTTTCATCAGCTGCCCGGCCCAGCACTCACCTTTCTTTCAGCTGCCCCCAGTCGGTGCTGGTACTCCTCCCGTAGAGCTTCGAGCTCCGCATCATTGTTCTTTTTCGCCTGCCCAAGTGAGTAAGAACAGAAGGGAATGGGGGGATTGAAAACCAAACAGACACAACAAAGGGGGTACAATACTTCGTGGTATATTATTAGTAGGGCACGCAAAACTGAATGGAAGGGCGCAGAAGCTAGGAGGACAAGTCTCACCTCCCACCTTCAGTCTCACCTTACCATCATTCAACACTCTCACCAACTCTGCTTGACTTGAAACCCACTTCACACCCCTTCCCGCTTCTCCTAAACAACGTCCTTTTCCTTAGTTCTTAACTCGCTCACAACCCAGCCCCGGTCTCACCTTCCAGTCCTCCAGTTCGGCCCGAAGCTCATCATTCACAGTCATCGCTCTCACCAGCTCGTCCGCCTGGGTCTGTGCCTGCCTGCCCGCATTCTGCAAACCACTTGCCCAGTCGCTCACCTTCCAATCTTCAAGCTCGGCCCGAAGCTCGTCGTTGACAGTCATCGCTCTCGCCAGTTCGTCCGCCTTGGTCTGTGCCTGCTTGCCCGCATTCTGCAAGGCACTCTCCATGGTTGCCAGCTCCATCTTCACTCTCACCAACTCCGCTTGGAGCTCGGACGAGAGAGCCTCTGCCACTGCTGCCGCTGCAGCTGATGATGCCTTCTCTGTGGATAGGGCTTCTGCTGCTGCCACTGCTGCTGCTGCTGCTGCTGCTGTTGCCGTTTCAGCAGACAGCGCTTCCCCTTCTGCTGCTACTGCTGCGACAGTCGCTGCCTGTTCAACGGAAGAACCTTTTTCTGCAGCAGCAGCTTCTGGTGGCGGTTTTTCAGCAGGCACTGCCTCTGCTGCTGCTGCTGCTCCGTCGGAACCTTCACTCTCATTCGCTCCCCTTGCCTCCGTTGCACCAGCGTCTGAAATATTCTCAGCCACAGACACAGCAGCAGCAGCAGCAGCAGCAGCAGCAGCAGAACCAGCCTCAACCGATGCTGCTGTATCGCTTCCCACCATCTCTGCCGCTGCTGCATCCACTAAGGCAACCGCGCCTGCTGCTGCTTCCCCTGCCCCTGCACCTGCTGTGCCTTGTACACCCTCCCCATTGACCACCACCCCAGGCGCCACCTCCTCCCCAGGAACATCACCAGCAGGAACCGCCTCTTCCTCAGCCCTACCGCTGCCCACAGCCCATCCATTCCCATCCGTACCAGCTGCACCCGCTTTCTCTGCTGCACCCATTTTCTCAAATGGACTCACTGGATGCTGCTCGTTCACAAGGCCATTCCCAGCAGCAGAGCGCCCTCCTTCTCCCCACGCTCCTTCCACTCCCTCTTGAGCAGCAGCAGCTTCAGCAGCAACAGCGGTAGCAGTTTCAGCAGCAGCTGCTGCTGCGGCAGCTTCAGCACCTTCAGCAGCAGCTGGAGCAGCAGGCATGAGTCTTTCTTCAGACGGCACATCTGCCCCCTCCCCTGCATGTGTCTGCCCTGGGTCTACCTTCCCTAAGCCCACCTCCCCTGAATCTGCCTCCCCCGAATCTGCCTCCGCTTCTACATCAATCTGCGTTACCACTTTCTCCTCCTCTGCCCCTGATTCCTGATTCAAAGACCTTGTTTCCTCTTCACTCGTCTGCACAGCAGCTTCACAGCCGCGTTCGCCTCCTTCAGAAGCAGCAGCACCGCTGTCAACTGCGGGCTCCCTTTCTGCAGCTGCTTCGTCACCTGCTGCTGCCTCGACTTCCGAAGCAGCCCATCTGACAGGTGGTTTGACTGGTGACTTGACTGGCGACTGGACTGGTGACCTAACTGGTGGTGACAGGGAGGGTTTGACAGGGGATGGCGCAGGGGCACCCTCCCCGTCCTCCTCCCCGTCCCCTTCCCCATCATCTATGCTGAAAACGGCCTCTGAGGCTGCTTCAAACCCGCTGAACGGCAGAGGCGTGGACGAAGCATTAGCTGCTGCCACAGCAGCTGAGGCACCGTCATCACCTGCCCCAGTACCTGCCCCAGCACCAGCATCAACAGCAGCACTGTCTGCAGATACACCCGCGGCAGAACCAGCAGCACCTGCAGCGTCATCCCCTGCTGCAGCGTCCTCTGACTTCTTAAAGCCATCTCTCGATCCAGCATCTGTACCAGGGAAAGCTGCTTCTCCCCCATTCGTTACAATATCTTCTTCTTCAATTACTGCCGCCCACCCCTCCCCTTCCTCTGCCTGAAACGCTCCCATTCCTGCAACAGCTTCGCCTTCTGCCGAACCTGGTGTAGGTTTGGGCTCTTCCTCAACCTCCGATTCGGCAACAGCTTCAGCCGTAGCTGCAGCAACAGGCTCGGGGGCAGAGGTTGCTGATTCAGCATCCGGCTTGTCGCCCAGACGAGGACTGGCAGGAACCGTGGCCTGGTTACCAGGTAACACCTCGTCTATCGCCCACCCTGCTCCTCCCTCCTCGCCCTCTTCTACCTTCGCAACGACACCTGCCCCATCCACAGCACCGCTTGACACCTCCTGGTTTGCTACCGCTGCTGATGAGGCAATCTGGACAGAAGCGTCAACTCCTGGTGAAGCCACTGGCGCTGCTGCTGCTTCTCCTGCTGCAATCACAGATGGGGTATCCAAGGCTGGTGAGACGATAGGTGCAGCTGCAGATGGCACTAAGGTAGACTCACCGCCTGCTCCTGCTGTTGCTGCTGCTTCGGCCTCAGCCTGTGGCTTGGTCAGCTTCCCTTTGACGAGCTTCACTATCTTGGTCGGTTTCTTCTCCGCTTTCTTCTCCTTCTCCACCTTCTCCTCCTCCTTTACCACTTCGTCCTTCCCCTCACTGACTTTACCATCAGCCACGGCCTCAGCGGCCGCAGCCCCTTGTGACCCGATTGCAGAAGCAGCAGCAGTATCAGTAGCGGCAGCAGGTGCAGCAGCAGAGGCAGTACTCTTAAGAGTAGGCCGCAGGGGCCGAGTCAACTTGCTAGCTCCCAGCTTCTTCGCTCCAAGCTTACCCTCCGGTTTCGCACCTCCACCCACTGCCGCCTTCGCCTCTGCTTCCTTTCCCTTCACCAAATTCCCTGCTGCTGAGCCTCCTCCTGCTGCTGCTGCCGATGCATTTTCAGCCGTTAAAGCCGATCTCGCCGGAAACGCTTCAGCTGTCCCAGTGACAGGTTTTGACGCTGCTTTCTCAGGAGTCTTGGAGCCTACTGCCGCCTCCTGGACCTTATCTTTCGCTGGAAAAGCGGCGGTAGGAGCGGCGGCAGGAGCAGAAGCTCGAGCGGTGGCTGTGGGAGGAGCGGGAGCATTTCGAGCCCCATCTGTGGTTGCTCTGGGCTTGGCCGTCTGAGAGGACGAGCTCGCCGCTGGCTTGTCTGAAAGTGCGTGGGATAATATGATGGGAGATACGGGTGGAAAGGAGAGAATCAGATATGTGGGGGGAGCGGCAGCAGTTCGAGCGCCATCTGTGGTTGCTCTGGGCTTGGTCGCCTGAGAGGACGAGCTCGCCGCTGGCTTGTCTGAAAAGCGTGGGAAAATATGATGGGAGGTACGGGAGAAAAAGGATAGAATCAGAAACGTGGAAGGAGAGGGAGCAATACGCCCCCATCTGTGGCTCCTCTAGGCTTGGTCGCCTGAGAGGACGAGCTCGCGGCTGGCTTGTCTGAAATGCGTACGGAGAGATGAAGAGAGGTATGGGAGGAAACGAGAGGACCAGAAAGACGGAACAAATTCCAAAACGGCAGGATGAAATTCGGCAGACAATAAGTAAGGAATACGTTACAAGAGCATCAAGCAGAGAAGCATCGGAAGTACAGAATTTAGAGCCAGGATCAATACGGGCTAAGATTGAAGCATCATGAGCCTGAAGGGAAGGGGAAGCAGTTTTCCGCAACTGCGTCTGCGGAAAATGACGATTCGAATAGGAAATATTCAGGTCGTTTTGCAGGAAAAAAAGCTTACGGTGACCGAGCTTAGCTCATCGGACCACATACCTGCATCCTAAATCAGCTACAGTGCGAAGAATACAAACGCCATTTGTTGTCATTCAACTCTTAAATCACCAAAACCAGCGTAACAGTCTATCAAATCGCGAATGATCGAATCGAAGGCCTGATAGCGAGGGTTCAAACCTTCGATGACAGGAGGGAGGAAGTCGAGACCCAGTCCGCCGTCGAATCCCGATGTGTCGATGTTCATAACCGTTTCGCTCAGCTTGTTCACCGCACCCGCAATGTCCGGGAGCTCTCCCAGCCCGAGCGACGTCACCTGAGCCGAGAACCAATCCATGGCTGCTGCTGCTGCTGCTGCAGGCAGAAAACCTTGATTCTACCTTATTATACCGGCAAGCAGTTGAGTCAAGATTTGATCGGTACGCCTCGGCAACGGTCTACGGCAGGTCCATCAGCCTCGGGAATCTCCGTGAGCCAAAAGCTTCGAAACTCCGTCAGGATTAGGGAGTCTACCACTCTGAAAGTTCAGCTGACAATATACCGCAAAACGAGCTTCGCCAAAGTCGGCGCGCGACGAAGATCAATGAATGTCGGACTACTCTACCCTCCTACCCAGACCCGAAAACTTAGAGCCTAGGACTGCAAGCATGAAAAAGGCCACCGTAATCTGTTGTGATGGTTTGACATGACACTTTCTAGGCTTTCTGGCGACACTTCCAAGGTGGGGAAAATGGAAGCCCAAACGCGAAAACGCAAGGGAAATCATGAATAGGCTTGTTACAGTACAAAGGAGAGGCTAGTAGCGGCACAGCGTGACGGATTGGCGGGAAAACGGTCCCTCCAAGGGCACGGAAAGGCTGTTGGCGATTTCCACTGACAGACGATGTTCGTGGCGCGAAGATGCTACGATAAGGAAGCTGGATACCGATTTAGCATGATGTGACAAGAAACCACATCACCCATATAATGTGAGAAAACAACAGTGTCTTTTCAAATATCACTCTGCATATCAATATTGATACCATACCTAGCGAATGGAATATGACACTAGAAAAATAATGCTGGACCATCAATGGCGTGTATAGCGGCAGAGCCTTGTCAACAGGAGGAAATGAGCAAAACGCAACACAAGACCAATGCTGAAGAGGATCGCCACGCATTGCCACTTGTCAAGCTGAGTTAGGCCCAGGTAGAATGCTGCCAGCTCAGGACCTGTCTGAAGACAGGTGGATGTTGACACCTCAGCAAACGGAGAACCAATCAGAGCAGGGCGCAGCGCAACGAGTGACCTTTGAACATCCACCTCATCAAGCAGAACTGAGAGCGGTGTAGAGGAGTAGATATCACGTGCAGAAAGGTAACAAAGCGAGGTCACCCGGTCAAACTCGTTGAGAGCAAGCGCCTCATAAGCGTACTTCAGGGGAGATATGTAGTGTAGCCAGAGCCAGTAAGAGGGTATGCTGGCTCGCTCAATATAGAAGCCGCAGACGAGGGCAAAGTTGGCCAGAACGGTGATGACGACAGCATAGGCGAGAATGACACTGTGTGGGTGTTGGTGGTAGTGGAAGAGAAAGGGAAAGTGATGAAGAAAAATGGAAAAGGATAGAGGCAAAGAATGTTGCAGCAGGCGGAAAACAGGAGAGCATGGAAATAAAGAATCAAGAAAGCAGGTGAGGGAGCAAGGGAGAAAGAGAGAAGGTAGAGGGGGTAAATCATCCATGTTACAGAAGCAATTTTTTTTTTTGGCCCGTACTTGTTGACTGTGGCACTAACGAAGGTGGCAATGGCATTCCCAGTGAAGAGGCAGCAGAAGCACACGAGCACCATAAAGGCCAGCCCTGCCGCCCCTCCTGTGAGACTGAGACACCACCAGGCTTCGAGGGTGATGGCGAGGGACATGAGGAGGTGCAGCGGCAGGTAGACGAGCGTGGAGGCCAGCAGGTAGGTGCACGGGCGGTAGGCGTTGTGCGTCGTCTCCCTCACAAATATGTTGCGCTCCTGGGGGGGCAGGAGGCATTGGAGGGAGCGGGGAAGAGGAGGAGGAGAAGATAGAGAAAAGATCGGGAGCTGGAGAGGGAAGTAGCACTAGCAGCATCAGGGCCAGCTCTGATGGTATTCTGAAAGAACTCTGCACTCACGAATGCACTTCACCGCTGGTTGGGTGCGCCATCTGAGGATGAGGAGGAGGACGTATTGTAAGCAGGTGAGAGAGCAATCAAAGTCTGCTGGGTCAACCGAGCTGAACAAGTCAACCAAGTAAGTCAACTGAGTCAACCATGAATCACCTGTATGAAGAGTGGAGTGGCGTCTCCAGAGGAGAAAAAGAGTGTGCATGTGAGGACAAAGCTGACTGAGTCAATCAACCGTCAAGACTCACCTGTATGAAGAGGGGAGTTGCATCCCCCGACGAGAAGAAGAGCGTGCATGTGAGGAAGGCAATGAAGGCCAGCCGCTCATGCACTCCACGCGTGCTGTGGTTGAGGGGAAGTGTGGCAAGGGGGGACGGAAGAGAAGGCAATAAGGAGGGATGGATGGATAAATGGAGAGATGGAGGGAGAGAGCGACAGGAGAGCATTAGATTCGACTTTTGAGACGTCTCAAAAGCCGACCACACCTTGAACCAAGAGTGGGAACCAAGAGTGGGAACCAAGAGTGGGAACCAAGTGACTGACTCACTTGAACTCTGGCTGCCAGAAGAGCGACGCTATAAGCAGCCCCGTTATCATGATAAGCAGCAGGCGCAGCAGGTACAGTGCTGGAGTCCGGCGAATCACAATAGCCGACCGAGCTGTCAGCACCCACAGCTCCCGCCACCACCCGTTCGCATACTTGCCCTGCTGCCTCCTACTCCCCTGCCCTTCCCCCTCCACCTTCTCTTCTTCCTCCTCCTCCTGATCCTCTTTCTCATCGTCCCTTTGCTGCCCCTGATCCTCTTGCCCTTTCTGTTCGTTGGTTGTACTGCTGCTGGCACTGCTGATGCTTGTGCTGCTACTACTAGTGCTCACAGAGCTCTTGGTACTGGAGCTGGTAACAAGTTCCAAACAAGGAACATCCGACCCACTGTTGCTCCTGCTCTTCTTTCCATCGCCTTCCCTTTGACCAACCTCTGCTTCTAGAACCTCCGCTGCTGCTTGAAGGTTGCTCTCCGTTCCTTTTGCTCCTGCTCTTATCTCCTTCGTTCTCACCCACTCCCGGTGAAACTCAGCCAATCGCTGGATGCCAGATGTACCAGCACCGCCGCTTGCTTGTTGTGCCCCGCCATTCACCTTGACCCCACCCTGTGCCTCTACATCCTCCTGCTCCTCTCCTCCCTTCAATCTGTCCTGTCCCTCCTGCCCCTCCTGTCCCTTTTCACCCACATTTCCCCCTTCCTGGCTTCTCGTCCCTCCCAAACCTCCCCGCCCTCCTTGCCCTCCCTCAGTCTCCCCTCCCAGCCCTCCCTGCCCTTCCTGCTGCCCGTCCATCTGCAGCGACTGGATCAGATCAAGCGTGAATTCCACAGGGTTGGAAAAGGCCGGCGCCGGGCAGCCAAACTCCGTGAGGTAGCCTGGCAGCTCGGACGGGCAGCCCCAAAAAACCGTGTGCCCGGATCCGAGGAGAAGGAGGTTGTCAAGGAGATTGAGGACCCTGAAACTGGGCTGGAGGTGCAAAGGGAAGGATATAGGACAAAGAGACAGGGAGGGAAGGGGAAATTTAGAATTTGAGGTGAAACACACATAACAGGGTGAAAGTCGAAGGGGAAGGAAGGAAGCATAAATCAAGCATATCTCACTTAGTCTAGCAGTTACTCTCACCTAGTCTCACCTAGTCTCACCTAGTCTCACCTAGTCTCACCTAATCTCACCTAGTCTCTCTTGGTATCACCTAGTCTAGCAGCTAGTCTCACCTAGTTTCACCTAGTCTCTCTTGGTATCACCTAGTCTCACCAGTTTTCACCGGGCCTCACCTCACCTCCCATGGTTTCACCTAGTTTAACTTGATGCAGCACCATGAGCACAATGCTCAGGCGCAGTCTCGCCACGTCCCTGACTGCCTTGACCACATGGAAGGCACAGGTGGAGTGGAGACCACACTGGTACGAAACCTCACTGGTGCATTCAGTCTCACCTGATGCAGCACCATGAGCACGATGCTGTTCCGCAATCTCGCCACGTCCCTCACTGCCTTGACGACGTGGAAGGCACAGGTGGAGTCGAGGCCAGAGGTGGGCTCGTCTAGGAAGAGCAGCGAGGGGTCTCCCACCATCTCCACTCCTATCGCTACTCTCTTGCGCTCGCCTCCTGACACGCCCCTGAGAGGAAAGGAGCGAGTGAGAGTGAACGAGGGGAGAGGGAGAGAACAGCATGTGGTTACAACTAGGAGCAGCGTGGGGTCCCCCACCATGTGAAAGGAGTGTTTTGAGACGTCTCAAAACACTCCTTCTTTCACAACTAGGAGCAGCGTGGGGTCCCCCACCATCTCCACCCCTATGACCACCCTCTTGTGCTTGCCACCTGACACGCCCCTGAGAGGAGGAAAGGATCGGTACTGCAGAGGTCAGTAATAGCCGCAACATAGGGTCTTTCCCTGGGGTCAGTACTATCACCACCCTTTTGCCCTCACCGCTTCATAAACCCCTGATGATGTGATGTGTGAAACGTACCTCCTGTTCTCATTCCCATTCCCAATGCGGGAATCAGCCACTCAAGTCAACCCTAACAGGTGCATCAGCCCCTCCACCTTCTCCTCCTTGGCCCTCCGCTTCCTCCTTGGCCCTCCGCTTCCTCCTTGGCCCTCCGTCCCACCGTGCCAGCCAGTGGCACCCTCGTGCCATACCACACCCTCAGTTCACGTACCTTCTGTTCTCTTCCCCAATGCGTGAGTCCGCCACTCGAGTGAGCCCCAGCAGGCGCATCAACCCCTCTACCTTCTCCTTCTGCCCCACTGCTCCCGCCGGCACAGTCATACCATACCACACTCTTGGATCTCGATTCACGTACCTTCTGTTCTCATCCCCAATGCGTGAATCCGCCACTCGAGAGAGCCCCAGCAGGCGCATCAGCCCCTCCACCTTCTCCTCCTTCTCCCTCCGCCCCACCCTGCCATTCCCCAGCCTCAGCTCGGCTGCAAACAGCAGCGTCTCGCGCACTGTGAGTGCCGGGAACAGCAGATCGTCCTGCATCACATAGGCTGACACCCGCCTCATGGTGCTGGCAGTCACAGGAGCTCCGTTTAGAGTTATTGAAGGGGAAAGCGCAGGGGTGGAAGAGTAGAGGGGAGTCACAGGGGCTCCGTTTAGAGTTATTGAAGAAGAGAGGGCGGTGGTGGGAGTTGGGAGGGCAGCTATTGAGGGTGGGATGTCAGGAGGCGGAGAGGCGGAGGGTGAAGGAAGGGGTTCTAGTGCAGATGGCATTTGAGGTGGTGTGGACGGGAGGGAGATGCGGTGGGAGAGGATGTCAAGGAGAGTGGTTTTGCCAGACCCACTGGCTCCCATGATTGCTGTCACCTGCCCTGGTTGGGCAGACCCTGATATCCTCTGCAAGATGTTGCGACGCTGCTGCTGCTGCTGCTTGCCAGACTGCTGATTGTGACTGTATGCAGCTTGACTGTGCCAAGAGGTGTCCAAAGGCGCATCAGGGTGGGTACATGCAGTCGTGCTGCTGCAAGCAGCGGAGGAGCAGAGGGAAGGGATGCTATGGAGGAAGGCTAGCGGATGACGCCGGAGAGGGACGGAATAGGAGATGTTGTGGAAGCACAGAGAGGAGGAGGAGGGAGGAGAGGAGCGGACGGAAGGAGAGAGGAGGAGAGGAGAGGCCGTAATACCGCTAGAAGCTGACACTGTGGAGGAGGTGTTGGAAAGTGGAACGAGTGTAGGAGAGGTAACTGGAGCTGGAAGCTCACTGGCTTCCAGAAGCGTTGAAGGAGCGAATTGCACCTTCTCTCTGTTCAGGTCTCCATCAGTAGCGCCCAAGGGGTTGGTGATGATGTGATTGTACTGAATTCGTGGAGGAGTTTCAGGAGGGATATCGAGCGCATGCTCTGATGGCGTCTGCTCTGCCATGGCGAGACTTTGAAGGTGATTTGCAGCAATACTGCTGGCGGGGTTGCAGATGGTACCGCTTGTGGTTCTGCTGATGTTTAGTCGGAATGATGCTCCTGATATTGCTTGTGGTGACACTCCGATCTCACAGCTGTTTTTGAGAAGATTCAGGCTCCCAATAGGTGACACAAGGGGGCTTTTACTTTCTTGAAGAGCCTGAAATTGAAGTCTTAATGCTCCTCGCAATGGTGTAGCCTCACAGATGCTGCATGGTGCCAGAAAACACCTGATGGAAAAAATTGAGTTGGCTTCTTGCTGTTTCCTCAAACTTTGTGTCGATGTGTCAATGTGATTCCTGCGGCAGAGTGTCGTGTTGTGCGTCTGCAGTTCCTGAAATGGAAACACGGTGATTGTCAAAACTTGACTCTCAAGGCATTTGACATCAACTAATCCGATTCCACAACAGCGAGCTATCCTTACCCTTAGCAGGATCTTGCCTTTGTAGGATCCGGCAGTGCCAGCATCCAAGGCCGTCTGGACTTCAACAATCTGGAAGTATGCACACTACACTGCACTGCACTGAACTGCGGTGCGCTGCAGTGCACCGCAGGTGGAAAGCTGAAACGGCCAAAAGCAGAACAAAAACAGGCTCACTCCAGACAGCTTTCCCTTACAAGACACTACTCAGGTAGTAATTTGAGAAATTCTGTGCAGTACAGCCTTTCGCTGTACACAAGGCAGCGGTGCTGATAAGAACGAGGCTCATGAGAAGTCTTGACAAAAGTGTTATCTCGTTCACTTCACTCAATCAGCAGACTCGGTCACTCGATCTAAGCCTGCTGATTGAAGAGAAGCTGAATTGACTCTCTTCAAGATGGCCGCTAGCACAGGTCTTGTAAGCGACGTTTCCGTGTCAGATGTGGACATCACCTGTTCTGGACGAGTGTGCTGGTACGAGGAGATGCAATTCGCACGTGGAACTCGTCCAGCAATGTTGCTGGTCGGAGCGGGACGTTGACGGAGAATTCCTGGACGACACTAGTCTTACGTCAACGTCACCAACTCCTAGTCAGATTTATTGTAACGAAACTTGACACGCATTTCCGGCAATGATGGCCAGGCAACGTCAGTGCCATCTCGGTGCTACCTGGCAATGCTCGAACCATAGCCTGGCGAGTCAACACCACGGGAACGAATGGAGCCGTACTTCATTCGCTGTCAGTGATCCTGCCGTGCCTGATAGGGATGGTACAGGATGCCCGTTGAGAGTACGGGATGTCATCTCGCACGTGTCAGGGGATACAGAAACCTAGAGACCATTGTTTGCTTGTGTACTTCTCGAAAAATTCGTCGGGATGCTTTTCCGTCGGATACAGTATCTCTGAATTTGATTGACGGCTGTCATGCCGGGGAAATCGACGGTCAGTCGACTTCGACGGAACAACCTCGCCGTGATCGCTGATTCGCTGCTGCTGACTCTTTCTGCTCGACGTCGCTAGCGGCATTACCGATGGTGACAAGCAGCCAGCGACTCTGCGGGGAGATCGACGACTCTGCGGAGAAATCGACAGGCCACGACTCACGAACCACCTGACAAGTTACGAGCGGAAGCATTATCCACATCCCATGCCATCGGGCTTTCCGAATGCACTGAACCGCTATTGATGGTTCAAATAAGTGAAATGGGTCAACATCGTTCCCCATCCCACACAGAATTCTTTGGCTGCATCCATGACCCAGGTCGCCAAGAAATATTTCGCTGGATGGGAAGTGGATTCCTCGATGATCTCTAGGGACGTCGCTATCAGAAGCATGGAAACTGTGACGGTCAGCTGCCATTAGAGGAGATTACCCAGGGTGGTTGTAGGGAAGTATTTACCAGCAAATCCAACTGGTGAGATTATGAGATACACTTCTGCCATTGAAGCTACTAAGAAATTTTCCGTATCATGTATCTGCTGTTTCTGGGAAATAAGCAGGATAATACCGGTAGTAACAAGTTTTCACATCACCACCCATAATAATGTACAGAAAAAAACCAGCGTCCAGCCGTGGTTCGTCCAGGAAAATCCACCCTGGCGTCGTTATGGAAAGGGTGGTTCTATCAAGAGCTACAGCGTTATTGAGGAACTTCCTACGGGAAATAAACCAATTCCCCTCTACTTGGCCGCAGGGGGCACATACACTGCCACTGGGTTCACATGCTGTCCCCTGGGTGAGGAGTACTCCACAACGTATGACTGCCACACAACCACCGACAAACATGTCAAAAGGAATTTGAAGCTTCACACAATTCACATCCCTCGACTCACACTCATCAGCACCAGAACAGGAACAGGGCAGAAACATCACACAGTAAGGGTACGTTCTTGGCCCAACTTTCCTGACACAAGGCTATCAACAGCTCCGATCGTGCCACATCATCAACAAACAAATCCAAACCCTTCGCAACTTCCAGACAGCCCACTTGACACCGGCAGAGAACGTACCGTAAGCGTGTATGTGAACATTACAAACAAATGGAAAATGCATAGAATGACTAAGACATCCAACCCCACCTTCAGAAGGGGGGTCTTGGTGTTGTCCTCGTAAAGCAGCACGGTCGAGTCGTCATCCTCCGGATCAGCACAGCCATAGATAATGGAGGCGAGGCTGAGAATCATCATGGTGACCAGGAAGACAAAGGCGAGCCCGAGAACGACCAGGCCAACAATGTTGGCGACGGTCCACCCGGGGAGAATGCTGGGGAAGGGGAAGTAGTCGTCCACAACTGTCACCTCAGCATCGTCGCCTGAGACTGGTGAGAAACAAGAGACAGTGGTAGTGGACGGATACAGATGTGCATAGATGCAGGCAGGCGGTGGCACAGGAAAGCAGGTGAGTGGGAAGCATGGGAAGCAACCCGGCAGACAGGCAGACAGAGGGACAGACACTAGAATGGACAGACACATTGGAGACGAAAAGCATGACGAAGTTTATAACAAGACAATGCACGAAGTTCTATGGCCAGTAGAACGGAAAAGCAGTACTAGTGCACCTTCCAGCAGCACACGCACCCTTTCTACGCCGCCCCACACCCACCCATCCCCCACCCCTCCTCCCCCCTCACCCTTTCCCTCCCTGCCCCTCTGCCCTATTCGCTCCAAAGAAATTTACCTGCGGAGTCATCATCGTCCACGGGAACAGCCGTCGTGCTGTCTAGTTTGCTGAGATATTCCGTTAAATCATCGTCCACCTGGTCAACAAAATCCGGGATCCCATTCTCCGAGCTCTCACCCTCCGAGCTCTCATTCTCCGAGCTCTCATTCTCCGAGCTCTCATTCTCGGAGTCCCCACTTTCCGCGCTTTCATCCTGCTCCTGAGGAGTCTGCGCGTTGCTCTGGAACTCCTTCGCGGCCTTTACAAACTCCTGGAACAACTGCAGATGCTTTGAGGATTGAGCCTGCGGTGGAATCATGGAGAACAGGTCGTCAAGGTCGAGCTTCTTCGTCCAATCGCGAGAGAGTACAAACGCGTCAAACGCGGACGCCAGAGGATCCGAGCGTTTCGTAGCAGCGGCGTCATCCGTTTCCGTCGGGAGACGCTCGTCGGAGGCGGGGTCGGCAGTGACGGCAGCGTCGCTGTCATCTTCAGCCGTCAACATTCTGACGTTTTCCGTTTCGGTATCCTCGGTAACCTTGTCAGAGGCGGGATCGGCAGTGACGGCAGCGTCGCTGTCATCCTCCGCCGTCAACATCCGGACATTTTCCGTTTCGGTATCCTCGGTGGCCTCGTCACGAGTCGTTTCCGAAGAAACGCTGGTAACGGGGCTGGAGTCACCGCCCGTGTCAGGCGCATAGTCCTCGTCGATTTCGATAGGGACGGGAGTGGGAATCTCCTCATCCGTGGATTCGGGAGTCACGTTGGTAACGATGCTGGATTCACCGCCCGTAGCAAACGCATCCTCCTCCTCATTTTCAATAGGGACGGGAGTGGGAGTCTCCTCGTCTGAGGATTCTGAAGACTCCGAAGAGTCAGTAGGCTCGGTAGACTCGGAAGTCTCCTCCGTGTCTTGGGGCTTGGTGTGGAGGTCGCTGAGAATGTCAGAGATAGACGACGGGAAGCGGTGGACGATCATGCGAGTGACGGACGGAAGTCGGTTGGCGACGACGAACATGATATTTCCGCGGAGATGGAGGCCACCGACATTGCTAGGCTGCCATGTATAACAAAGGACACAATATTTGAAAGAAGAAGAAAAACTCATCATGAAGCAAGTAGCAAGAAACACGGTAGAAGAGCAAACATACGCAGAAGGAGTGCGGAGAGGGAGAAACGAGATGTGACAGAAAGGTACGAATGACAACAGGGGAAAGTGAGGACGGCAACAGGAGAAAGTGAGGACGGCAAACTGGCCGGCAACTAAACTAGATGGCAATAGGTCTGGTGTTGCTGAGTAAGAATCACCTCAAGTT